TATATATATATATATATATAAGGGCTGGGAGAGTTAACGCGTTATTATCGAGTTAACGCATTAATTGATTAACGCCAACAATTATTTTATCCCGCATTAACACATTTTTTTTTTTTATTATGAAAGTCGGTTGCTCACTGGCTCTGAATACACACAGACAAACCATGGGTCACAGGAGGGGTGGGATGTTGATCAGTACTGGCTTGGGATGAGTGTCATCACGCGTCTCAACCAATGAGAGCATTTGGGGAGGGCCTAAGACTGCAGCAGTGCTCAAGTGAACGCTCCCGATAAAATAATTTAAGCTAAGCATCAACATTCACAAACCACTGTATACTGTTATTTTTAACAGAAAAGAATGCAACGAGCTCGTAATCACGACTTCATAAGTGGGAAACAGGAAGTGTCCGATAGCACGTGAAGGCAGCATCGCTCTCGCTCAGCACAGTGCAGTGCATCGTTTTGTTAACTTTGTGGTTTATTATTTTGAGTCGTTTGGGACACGGTAACACATGGCCCTCTCACAATATATTGCTTTACAGATCTATCACTCTTGCCGTTCAGAAATGTTCACGCAATCATGCAGCACATATCATAGCTTCCATGCTCCGTTGCGGTTAGCGCTCACACTCACTGATCTATATATAACTGAACCCGCTCTGGCCCACCTCTTCCAACCGAGCCAGGGACGGCTAAGCGAACCATGCCAGAGCAGGGCACGGAGCGATCACACTAGTCAAACGAACCGGGCTTTGGGGGTCAAACGCGCTCGGGCACAGTTAAAACTGCCTAGTGTGAGTACACCCTTATTCTCCCGCATCCCGCACACACGAGTCTCTACCCGCCCGCACCCATCAAGTGTTGTCCCATGCCGCACTCCGCTGCGTTGGGTCCCACGATAGTGCAGGTCTCTAAGGTGCCTGTTATAATATTATGATGGAGGCTCTGGACTCTAAGCATAACTTGTTTTTCTATAACAAACTAGAAAATATTTTCTATAAAAACGTTAATGCCCTGGCAGTGACAAATAGCTTTGGTTTTATATTTAATTTGATTACATTAATGTTATAGTTGG